CGTTTTCGATCCCGTCCCGTTTCCGTATTTTCCCAGAAAAGCGAAAACGGTCGGGATAAAACGGTAAACAGTTGCGGACGGAACAGGATCTATCCCGTCCGTTTTCAACCTTAGTATGAAGTGAAGTTATATACACTGACTTGAGGAAGGAAGAGCTGCAGCTTTTGTATGACATTCAGAGTCTTGAGCTGCTCCAACACAAGTGTTCCAAAAGCTAAAGCACACCGGTCCTTCATTCGGAGATGAAGCATAAAAATAGAAAAGTTGTTTACTGGAAGGGCGTATTATTTCTTCCGTAAAGCTCCGTCTTGCTTCTACAGACGTACCCTGCTAAACAATGTGATTAGCATATGTTGTGCAAATAGAAATGACAAAATTCATTGAAGGTTGGGAAATTAAATCGTGCAGTAGATCAACACACGTACATAGCCGCTGGCAGGTATCACCATGCATAGCACACGGATGCGTATGCCGGCAGGATTATTGACCTCTGTGTATTTGCTGCTCCAATCCATGGAGGTGGACAAACTCATAAGGTGCAAATCGAAACCACATCCAATGAAACGAGACAATGTGGAGAAATACGAGAACAAGAGCGAATCGACCGTGGGCACCTCGAACGAAGTGATCAAGTCATGGTTCCCACAGGATTGCAGCCTGAATTTGTTGAGCTCGACTGCTTGTACGTTGAGACGCTGTGGCGTGACATCCACAACAGGAACATGCACGACCCTCAACATGATCTCCTTGAGCGACCCTGAGCTAATAACACAAACACAAAACGTGAACGTCTGTCACACACAAACACACCACCCTTTTTCAAGTCTCTATCTACACCCCAGCGCCCACACCGAGGAAGGGAGAACTGGAAACTGATGCCAACCCGCCTCACGCTCCATTGCTCGCGCGCTCCCTCTGCCATGGCCTCCTTGGCCAGCGTCCCTGCAGAGATCCTCATCCTAATCTTCACCTACCTGCAGTGCTTCGCCGACCTCACGAGCATTGCGGGCGTCTGCGACTGCAAAGACTGGCTCAACGCCGTGCACGTGCCAACAAGTACTTGGAACAAGCAAGTTCAGGAAGATCCGATTCATCTAAGAACAGATATCAAGTTAATCTCATACAAGAGTTTCTGTGAAGTATCGCTGTTGTGTTCACTGTTCCTCAAGAGCACTAGGGCCTTCTTAGTCCCAAGGTTGAGGTGGACGAGCCCAATCCTCTCCGGCTAGATGTTCCACTCCTCTCCCCAAACACACCGAACCGGATTGGCTGGTATGCGTTGAAACCCCTTGGATAGTTCAATCCGCAATATCTTTAGCATTGGCGCAGATTTGATCAGAATGTTTAAGAAACCAAGGTCATGATCCATTCAATCCTTTGATTTCCACCACCTTGAGATTAGTCAATGAGATGTGTCGATTTCTCCTGATGTCCTCCATGTAATGGCCATATTCTTTCTTAGTTGAGCAAATGCCATGCTCCTACAGAAGAGTCAATAAAGTACACCACATTTGCTACTGATGTTTAGTATTAGCTATCTAGAGAACTTAGCTAAGGTGTATGAAGTGAAGTTATATACACTGACTTGAGGAAGGAAGAGCTGGAGTTTTTGTATGACATTCAGAGTCTTGAGCAGCTCCAACACAAGTGTTCCAAAAGCTAAAGCACACTAGTCCTCCATTCGGAGATGAAGCATAAAAATAGAATAATTGTTTACTGGAAGGGCGTATTATTTCTTCCGTAAAGCTCCGTCTTGCTTCTACAGACGTACCCTGCTAAACATTGTGATTAGCATATGTTGTGCAAATAAAAATGACAAAATTCATTGAAGGTTGGGAAAATAAATCGTGCAGTAGATCAACACACGTACATAGCCGCTGGCAGCACACGGATGCGTAAGCCGGCAGGCTTATTGAGCTCTGTGTATTTGCTGCTCCACTCCATGGAGGTGGACAAACTCATAAGGTGCAAATCGAAACCAAATCCAATGAAACGAGACAATGCGGAGAAATACGAGAATAAGAGCAAATCGACCGTGGGCGCCTCGAACGACGTGATCAAGTCACGGTTCCCACTGGATTGCAGCCTGAATTTGTTGAGCTCGGCTGCTTGGACGTTGACGCTGTGGCGTGACATCCACAACAGGAACAAGCACGACCCTCAACATGATCTCCTTGAGCGACCCCGAGCTAATAACACACACACAAAAGGTGAACGTGTGTCACACACACGCACTACCCTTTTCAAGTCTATATCTACACCCCACCGCCCACATCGAGGAAGGGAGAACTGGAAACTGATCCCCACCCACCTCACGCTCCATTGCTTGCACGCTGCCTCCGCCATGGCCTCCTTGGCCAGCGTCCCTGTAGAGATCCTCATCCTCATCTTCACCTACCTGTAGTGCTTCGCCAACCTCACAAGCATTGCGGGTGTCTGTAAGGACTGGCGCAACGCCGTGTACGTGCCAACAAGTACGTGGAACATGCAAATTCAGGAAGATCCGATATATCTAAGAACAGATATCAGGTTAGTCTCATACAAGAGTGCCTGTGAAGTATCGCTCTTGTGTTCATTGTTCCTCAAGGGCACTAGGGCCTTCTTAATCCCAAGGTTGAGGTGGACGAGCCCAATCCTCTCCATCCAGATGTTCCACTCCTCTCCCCAAACACACCGAACCGGATTGGCTGGTATGCGTTGAGAACACTGACAAGCAGCCTGTCAATCTCCCTCCTTCGGATCACCTCCTGTCGACACCAACTGTCAGCAGTTGGGAGATGACGACAAGGAAAGGGCGTCGATTACATCAGCACCTTCCCCGACGGCGTTCTTGGTGACATCATCTCCCTCCTGCCCACCAAGGATGTCGGTCGTGTCCCAACCCTAGCCAAACGATGGAAGCACCTATGGCGCTCTGCCTTGCTCAACCTCGACTGCCACGACCTCCCTGGATTCCCCGCGGACGATGACGCTCTCGCCGCCGCCATCTCCCAGATCCTCTCCAGTCTCCAGTCTCTAGCAAATCCCTATTCCTCTCTCTAGTCTCTATCTATACCCTGAGGAAGGGAGAACTGGAAACTCATCCCCACCCACCTCACTCTCCATTGCACGCACACCCCCTCCGCCATGGCCTCCTTGGCCAGCGTCCCTGTTGAGATCCTCATCCTCATCTTCACCTACCTGCGGTGCTTTGCCATTGCACTGTGTCGAATGTAAAGCATGTAACATAACACAAACACAAAAGGTGAACGTGTGTCACACACGCACAAACTCACACAATCACACTCACACTACCCTTTTTACTAGTTATTTCTTGTGGTAAGTACTAGTTATTCTTCAGGGAGTACTTTTACTAGTTCTTACGAAGCGCACCTCTTCCTGCCGATGTTGCTTCCCGTAAGAGTAATAAGGTGAAAAACGGGAATCAAGTGCCATTTCATCTTAAACAAAATCCAGTCTGAACTGTGAAATGGAAGCTAAGTGGCATCCAATTAATTCTCTATGTCCTCCTTGTTCAAAAATGGGACTGCAGTATGTAGGCTTGCCTCAAAAAGAATTTGTCAACTTGAAGCAAACTACTAACATCAGCTTCTTGCAGTATATTTCCAGCAAATGCTTGAGACAGCTCTCAGCTCTCACCCACATCAAATGGTTCTTGCAGCCAATATCACGTTACCTACAAAGATTATGCCTAGTAGGTTATGCTTATTTTCTTCAACTGAGGAAGAACATCCATTCATTATATATATTGATCAGAAAATCAAAATTTCAATAGCATAAGACCATAAATTCGTAAGTACTGGCTAATATAGCATCCACGAATTTGACAACGTACTGATCAGAACATCTTGACCATGTATTCAAGTTTGACTATATTGCAGCTTCTGGTTCACTATAAACGACACGTGTCGTAAAGCTACGGTAAGTGGTCCCAGCAGATAAAGGGAGACCGAAACCACTAGCTGTTCAGCAAATCCCTATTCATCTCTCTAGTCTCTATCTATACCCCCACCACCCACACCGAGGAAGGGAGAACTGGAAACTGATCCCCACCCACCTCACGCTCCATTGCCCGCGCACTGCCTCCACCATGGCCTCCTTGGCCATCATCCCTGTAGAGATCCTCGTCCTCATCTTCACCTATCTGCAGTGCTTCGCCGAGCTCACTAGCATTGCGGGCGTCTGCAAAGACTTGAGCAACGCCGTGCACGTGCCAACAAGTACTTTCCCTTATGGAGCGCACCTCTTCCTTCCGATGTTGCTTCCCGTCGTGTCATCATCGATGCACCAGCCGTCTCGGCGCTACACAGCCAGGGCACCACTGCCCCGGACTGGGGGGCTGCTCCATCGGCGATGCGAGCGATAGAGAGACTGTGACCTGTGAGCTAGTTAAGGAATTGGGTTTGGGAATGGGGAAATATTCGGCGGCCGTTACAAGTGTTACCCTGCAGCGGCGCAGCCCCAGCTGGCTCTGATGGGCAGCCCCAGGGAGAGGTTTTCAAGAGTAGTGTTCCCAGCTTTCAGGCCCAAACCGAGAGAGTGTGGTTGACTCGAATCTTACTAGGATTTGATCCATCATAACACATGTCCAAACTTCATCCTCAGATATTGCAATTAAGTTCATAAAGGACAAGACACCTTATACAATACAGTACTAGTATATGATACAGACAAATGGTAAAACTCGTTTTTACGGGCACGGGTCTTGATGTGCTGCTGCTGCTGCTGGCATCCCTCTCCTTTTGCACGTCCAAACCACCTCTGACTAGCACGGTGCCGATCCATCCAAATGCATGCATTGACGCCGTGCACTGCGTGACATCTAAAGCATGTAATGTAACAAACACAAAAAACGTCAAAACGTATAGTGTGTGTGTGTCACACACACTTTTTACTAGTTATTTCTTGTTGTAGTAGTTTTACACATTATCTATATTTCCTGTGGGGCACTTCCCTTTCCTTATTGCATTTGTCCACTATATTTCATCCATTTCCTAAAGGCTGGCGGACTATGCTAGTGATTCCAGAACTAGAACAAGAGGTGAAGCTTCTCTCAAAATCAAAGTCTACTCGGAAGGTATGAATGACACTCAGTTGCTTGTAACAATTTGATTCCTAACAATGAGATATTATTTATCAACTGGGCTCAGGCTTTGAGATATTCCTGTGCATGATCAGCACTTCCCTAGAACCAACAATTTCCATGGTTGTTTTCTATTGAGATTTGTTCTCTAGGACTAGTTATACTGAAGGTAAACCAAAATATTGTAGCAGAAGCAGCTTGCCAAAATATTTGAGGTTTACCTACTCAACTTGAGTTCTTTCAGGAAAAAAAAAACTACTCAACTTGAGGCCAACATGTTATGTAAGTAGAGACTATCTTGACCAAAAAAGTATCAGCGGCTTGTTCATATCCCTTTCATTGTGTGATATTGTTCTCAGACTTGGACATCCGGATATTGCCAAGTTCATGTGGTCTATTGTCACAAACATGCTCGTGGCCTTTTTTTACGTGCTATCTATTTCAGGAGCTTAGACATCTTAGAATGGAGCGTGATTCAATTGAAGACAGAATCCATCATCTTGAATGGTCTCTTAAGTAAGTTGAGAAAGTTTATTTAAGTTAAATTCTATTTTTACTGTTATGCAGTTACTCCACATTCTATTGCTTTAGCTTTGAAGAACTAACTTGAATCTTCTAACATAATTGTACTTTTGCGTCAAAGCTGTAGTTTCCTAATTGATTTGCCCTCTCCTCTTTGTTCAGACTTGATGATGTCACAGAAAATCAGAAGGAGAAGTTGTTCTCTGAACATGACAATCTGCTGGTTGGTCCTTATTTTGATTAATTTCGTTGTCAATTCCCTCCATTCCAAAGTGTCGACTTGATATAGCAAAGTGTCGACTCCTGTACTGACTTGATATAGCAAAGTGTCAATTCCTATACGGGAGAATGGGCAATTATTCGGAGGAGATTGGCGGCCGTTATAACCCAGCTGCCCTAGGCTTTGATGGCCTGATGGGCAGCGTCCCAGCCGCCCAGAGAGAATTGGGAGGAGGGTGTGTCTGGGAGAGAGGAGAGTTCTCAGCTTTCAGGCCCAAACCGAGAGAGTGTGGTTGGCTCGAATCTTAATAGGATTTAGGCCCGGTTAGAGCGTCTAATTTCTTTTATCTTCTATTACTTTAATATTTATAGGCCGTCTGTTTGTTTTCGCTTATAATCGGTTCACCATGGCCCTGTTTGGTAGCAATCACAAGCATAGAAAAAGTACGACTAAGATAAGTTGTTTTGATCTAGTTTCTGCTTTTTTTTTTTGAAAAATTGCTGGCACGATTATGCCAGGCAAATATATTGATAGAGAAGAGGATCTAGCTTCTGCTTTTTAGTACAAACAAAGATGTGGGGAACAATTAAGCTGTACTAGCGGAACAACAAAATTGTCACAGATGGGATAGTCAAGAATATAACATGAAGGCTATTTTTTCACTTTAAATTGGGCCAAAACATACTCTATGTGAGCTAAATAACTAAGAAATCGGAAGACAGAAAAGTAACATAGCAATCAGGAATTCAGGATAAAATAAGCCTTTGTGCATGAATAACATAGCAAACGTGCTCTATGTGTTTCAGAGGTATGATGGTCATGGGTTGGTTATGCGTGTGCGTGTGTGTTTGTAAACGTCTACGTATATTTGTCGGCATAGATGTCTGCATCACAGTGGGAGTCATTCTGAGAAAGTTAGGGTCGAATTGAACAAATAACGTTGGATGTTTCAACGTATAAGTAACATGTGTGTGTGTGTGTGTGTGTGTGAGAGAGAGAGAGAGAGAGAGAGAGAGAGAGAGTAGAGAGTAGAGCTCTACAATGTTAAAGCATTCACATATATGTGCATTCCATACACTAGATAAAAAAAATGATTCATGCTCCTTAAAACAATTGGTACATGTTGGTAAAAATTCTTTTTTCTTTGATGGGGACTTTTTATTTTCATTTTTAATTGCAGAAACAGAGAGAGCATGTTCGCCGCCTTCATCAGGAGGCTCAGAGGCAACATCATCAGAAGGTAATGTTCTCAGTTACACGACTGCTGAATTTGTTCCCTGCGCTTTTTATCTTTCTAATTGTTTGCTTTCCGTTTGAGTTCAGTTTCATAAGGTGTGGGGACAGCTCATGAAGACTGGGTACCAAAATTCCAGATTTGCTCATCAGGTGCAGAACGTTCAACCACACTTGACAGTTACGGGCAGCAATGTGTGGACTGACACAAGATTTTGTTTTCACTTGTTTCCGCAGGTTGAGAGATTTGCATGCTTGTACAGCAGCCAGGTTACAAACTTCGGTTTGTATTCCCCCAACAAGTACTATCGTCCGAGCGAAGATTACATGCCCCACGAGTTTGATGTGCTTGGGCTGTAGGAGCAGTCCCTGCTGCTGCTTGGAGTTCCCCGTGGTAATTGACCCGCAGCAGGATAGGAGGGTGATTTTAGTTGTGACAATGTAGTTTCCGTATTTATAGACAGAAAGCTTCACCCATTGTGAAGGAGCGAAGGTATAACTATAGTAACCACAGTTCTTCTACATATAACAGTAACTTTACCTGTATATAAATATGTGCATAACTAGTTTAGGAGGCAAAGGAAAGCAGTCCAGATGATGTCTGGAGTGAACATTTTGAATTCAGCGTTTTGTTAAGTGTCCCAACCATAACCATTGCTAGCATGCTTAAGTCAGGCTGACGTCTCGCTGAAAAAAGCTTGTTTTTTTAATTCAGAAAAAAGCTTGTTTAGTACGCACAACGTGGCAACGTCTGACTTAATCTTTCAGCTTCAAAGGTTAGCGATGCAAAGTAGGCGGCGTTTCAACCCGACGCAAAGGACCGCTCTTTGTGTGCTTGTCCCGACGCAAAGGACCGTTCTTGGTGTGCTTGAGAGGGCACTGACTTCACCTGTCAGGATTTAAATCTTCAACCCCCGTAACTGATATAAACTCAAGTGATGCGTATTATTTGTCAGCAAGCGATAAGTAGTAGACTTATGATGTCTAGTAGTGTGTTGCGCGTTTGTGATGATGTGCAAATGTGCGCGTCATCCTTGTAATCGAAAAAAGACCAAGCCACGTAAAAGAGAGGCGCGCAACGGTCCAGAGCGGAAGCCTATTTTCATTAACACGATGCGAAAACTACATATTATTTGCAAGCGCGCGATAAGTAGTAGACTTCTGGGGTGTGGGATTGTGTTGTGCGTTCGTGATGGTGTGCAAACTTGTGCATCATCCTTGTAATCGGAAAAGGCCCAAGCCATGTAAGGCCTTTTTGAATGCGCATGTATTTATCTTAATCCATATATGTTGAAGTGGATTGGAGTGGAATTGAACTCAATTCTATTCTATTCTACTCCAACACATGTGGATTGAGGTGGATATACATGCATCCAAACAAGGCCTAAAAGAGAAAAAGTCAACAGTCACCCCTACAAATGGCACACACACAACTATACAAGTGTGTCTCACACACATTCATAGAAAAAAAAGTTGTTCCACACACCGCTGCATATGCGTGTGAAAGAAAAAAGACAACCGTCACTCCTACAAATGTGTCTTACATGAATAGCTATACAAATGTCTCACAAACATTCGCAAAAAAGTGTTCCACACACTACTGCGTATGCGTGTGAGTATGTCTCGATCAGTTTGTCTATCTTCTTTTTTTCCTGAAACAGCACATACGCTCACATAGATGCATGCACGAGCTACTTTATGACGATAACACAACTTACTTTATGACATTTTTGAGAGACTGAGCCGATTGATCTTGAGATTGACGAAGTCGCCATAAGTAGTGTCAACGCGTGAAGCTTAATGGATGGGCACAATCAAGAGAAAATGCTGCAATTGAATGTCAAAAGAAGAGAATTTTAGTGCTTGATACAATGTGAAAGGTCCTAATATGGCTAGAGGGGGGTGAATAGCCTATTTAAAAACTACAAATCAACTAGAGCAATTTGATTAGTAAGACAAATAGCGAAATGCAAACTTGCTCTAGCTCTACAAGGGTTACAAGCCACCTATCCAACAATTCTAGTTGCAATGATCTATTTGCACACAATCTACTTGACCACTACTCACTAAGAGCTCTCACAAAAACTACACTAAAGAGCTCCACTAGATATGTTTAAAGCACAAGGCAAGCTCTCAATTCTAATTACACTAAAGAGCTTGCTATATCTAGTTTGCGGAAATGTAAATGAGTAAGTGAGACGATTATACCGCCGGGTCGTGGAGTGAACCAATTACACGATGAATATATAGCCAATCACCGGGAGAATGCAAATGACAAGAGACAACCAATTTTTCTCCCGAGGTTCACGTGCTTGCCAACACGCTAGTCCCCGTTGTGTCGACCAACACTTGGTGGTTCGGCTAAGAGGTGTTTCACAAACCTCGTCCACACGATAGGACACCGCAAGAACCGACCCACAAGTGAGGTAACTCAATGACACGAGCAATTTACTAGAGTTACCTTTCGGCACTCCGCCGGGGAAGGTACAACTCCCCTCACAATCACCGAAGGCGGCCACGAACAATCACCAACTCGTGCCGATCCTTCACCGCTGCTCCAACCGTCTAGGTGGTGGCAACCACCAAGAGAAACAAGCGAAATCCATGACATAACACGAATACCAAGTGCCACTAGATGCAATCACTCGGGCAATGCACTTGGATTCTCTCCCAATCTCACAATGATGATGGATCAATGATGGAGATGAGTGGGAGGGCTTTGGCTAAGCTCACAAGGTTGCTATGTCAATGAAAATGTGCAAGAGTATTTCCTTGAGCCGCCATGGGGCTATAAATAGAGCCCCCCATCAAATAGAGCCGTTGTACCCCTTCATCACTGGGCAAAACACGCTCCGACCGGACGCTCGGTCATACCGACCGGACGGCCGGCCCTCGGCGTCCGGTCGCCTGATGGACGCCACGCGCACCACCTTCTTCAAACGATGTTCGCTGATTTCAACGGCTACTGAAGGCGACCGGACGCTCGGTCAAAAAGCGACCGGACCTGAAGCCCCAGCGTCCGGTCGTTTCGATAAGCTCCCCGGCGTATTTCTTGACCGGACGCGTCCGTCCACCTTTTGACCGGACGCAGACCGGCGTCCGGTGCTCAACCTTCCCTATCAGGTTGTCGGCGATCGTACCGGACGGACGCAGCCTTTCAGCCGTCCGATCATTGAGTGACCTAGCGTCCGGTCGATGAACCGACCGACGCCAAAGATCATTTCGACCAACTCCATTTCAACTCTAACTTCTTCACCCTTGCTCAAAAGTGCCAACCACCAAGAATTTTGCATCCGGTGCAATAGAAAATAGACATTTCATTTTTCCAAAAGCGCCGAATCCCGCCTCGCAAGCTCGGCGGGAGGGAGAGAGGGACCCAAACCCATCTCAACCCTGCAAACACCTTGTGCACATGTGTTAGCATATTTTCACAAAATATTTTCAAGGGTGTTAGCACTCCACTAGATCCTAAATGCATATGCAATGAGTTAGAGCATCTAGTGGCACTTTGATAACCGCATTTCGATACGAGTTACACTCCTCTTAATAGTACGGCTATCTATCCTAAATGTGATCACACTCACTAAGTGTCTTGATCACTAAAACAAAATGGCTCCTATATTTTATACCTTTGCCTTGAGCCTTTTGTTTTTCTCTTTCTTCTTTTCCAAGTTCAAGCATTTGATCATCACCATGCTATCACCATTGTCATGATCTTCGTCATTGCTTCATCACTTGGAGTAGTGCTACCTATCTCATAAACATCTTGATAAACTAGGTTAGCACTTAGGGTTTCATCAATTAACCAAAACCAAACTAGAGCTTTCACAATGGTAGGGGCTTGCTTGTGTATTTTAGGATGTGTGACGATCACACTGCTACTCTCCATAGGCCAATAAGTATATATAATTTGTTTGTTTGTTTAGTCATATGTTGTTTGTATACATAAACCAGAAGCAATTAGTTCACTTTAGCCCTCATTTGCCGACTTGTAGATTAGTCGTTAGTTGAGATGTGGATTAAAATTTAAAATTTAATCCATCTATTTAGATGGCCTATGACTAAATTTTAGATGATTAACAGTTAGTCCCGGAGATTGATGCGGTGATGATTAAACAAGGTGCAACGTCGTCAAGGTTTGATTAAACGGATTGCATGCTTGCATGCGCGCGTTTCAGAAGATGATGAGGCGCATGCGCGCCTGAGAACAGCGGGGGTCTTCGCTTCTGATTTAAGCAGTTGTTCCGACTTCCCAGTGTAATGCTCTTGAGCGGATGTCCGGACGTTTTTTCCCCTATTGGATGCTATTTTAGTTGGATCTAACAGACGGTCCAATAGTTTCTAACTGACATATTTCTCTCTTACATCGCTGCTCATCTTCCCGACACGGCACTAGGGCAGGGTGTTTGTGGCTGGCGACGTTGTGCTCGTCTTTCTCCTTCACCGCTGATCACCTTCCATCACTACCTCTTCCTCCCTCGCAGCCCTGCCTACTCGTGACTGCCAGCAACAGCCACGCAGGCGCCGGCCACCACGTGTGGCCAAGCGGCCAGGAGAGGTGGCCATCGCAGGGCGGGCCCAGGCCAGGCGCAGGCGCAGCTGGCCGCTGCCAGGCCGCGCCACCATCCTCAGCCGCCGGCTTGACAGAATCGGTCGTTCCCCCGCTCTGTGTTGCGTCGTACGGAAGAAGAAGGGTGAAAACCGCATCTTGCAAGAATATGTTTCAAGTGTTTCAGATGATTCAGAGGTATTTTGCAAGTGTTGTATATCGATGTTGCCAAAGTAGATCGAGATGTTGCACATGTTATAATGACTATACACGTATGTTTCAAGCGTATGTTCTAAATGTTTCATCTGTTCCAGAGTACGTTGCAAGTGTTTTATCTAGGTATTACAAAAATAGATCTGGATGTTGCATATACATGCATGTTGCAAGCATATGTTTAAAGTGTTTTCAGGTGTTTCAAACATATGTTTTGCAAGTGTTTCATCTAAATGTTGCATATGTTTGCAACGGTTTTCAAATGTTTTTAAGGCGTTTTCATAAGTGTTCGAGACACTTGTTTCAAATGTTTCATCTATCTTCTTTTATATGTTACAACTGTTGCATCTGGATATTTTAAAAGTAGATGGAATATTGCACATGTGATTCGTACGTGGAATCGGAATTCTTGCAGGATCTCTCTAGTGTCGGTCCTTAGCAAGAAGAGAAATCAGCTACGTCTACGGTGTACGGGTACCGGGTCCCAAGTCCAAACAGACCTCAGGAACGAACCGCCTTGATCCGTTGGGCCGCTGCCGCTCTCTCGGACACAGCTCAGCCCACCCCAGCCCAGGCCACTCGCGACCCGCAGCGCGTC